GACAAATTCAAATCTCCTCCCCAGAAGAAGAATGCAGGAACACAAAGCACTGACAAGTTGCTCTTTCTCTACCCACAGGTCTTGTACTTCAGGGTTTCCTGACCTGACAATCCTATCCCTCAGCCTCCATGGTCCAGCCCTGCACACAAGCCCTCTGGCTCACTCCCCAAGGAGCTTGCCAAACTGAACTATCTTCTGTACAGGCCTCTGGCCCCAGGAGACGAGGGGAACATTCTTGCCTCCAGCAGTCTCCAGACCTCCACCTACCACCTGGGGGATCCTGCCCAGGGCAGCTATACCTTAGGAGGCTGTCCTTGTGGCCAGGGACCACCGGGGCAGGCCCAAGACCCATGGTGGGGATCTGTTTTGAGCTGGTGCCGTCAGCTGAAGTGGTGAAAGCTACGTGTGGGGCAGGCGAGGGTGGAGACTGGGAGTCCAGGTCCGATCATGTGTATGAGACATTGAGCAGAGATGCTGAGTGCACAATTAGGTCCACGAATCTGGAACTGGGCTGAGAAGTCTAGGCTGAGACGAAATCAGGAGGCTGAGAGAGCGTAAGTAGAAAAGAGGAGCAAGGACTGAAGCGCACACTCCAACCCAGAGAGGCTGAGGAGAAGGAGAGGAGTCGGGAAAGGAGCAACCAGGAGACTGAGGCGTCCGGAAACCAGGGGAAGAGCGTGTCTCAGGGAGGACGGAGCGTCCAGCTGGGCCAAAGGCTGACGCTTGGGGTAGAGAACTGACGTCAGATTCCGCCATTTCTGGGAGAATGGAAGCGGGAATCTGCCAGGTGGGGCTTGTGAGACCAGGAGGAGAGTTAATTCTTCTTATAAAAGGCTCCAAACATCTTCTTGTACTAATTGTGTTTTTTATTTTCTGTGTTTTATTTTATTTGGCAGCTGGCCAGTATGGGAATCCGAACTCTTGACTTGATGTTATCAGCACTGTATTCTAACCAGCCAGCCTGTTTTATGAATTTTATGATGCTTTGATATCCTGGAGCCTTGTGGATCCAGGGAAGGGCTGCCCCTCCCAGGGTCAGCTAACTACTACAGACAGCCTGTGAGAAGGCCTTTGATATGCAAACCAATCCTGAGACGATATTGCTTCCTTTTGTCAGGTTTCTATAGCCCCAGACACCATCCCCCAACCCCCAAATCACCCTATGGCCAGATGCCAGACAACTGAAGACTACCTCTGTAGCTTAGAGCCCTCAGAAATTATTCAAATTCGCCCATCTTAAACCTGCTTAGTGACTTACCCCGCCTTGCCCATTCCTTCCCGTGAAAACCACAATAGAGCCTTCAGCCCATGCTTTTCCCTCACTGTGTCCACCTCCTGACTGACCCCAGTGCTTCCCTGTGTGGCCTGCATGACACGCTGTGCCCCTTCACCTTGGGAACGCAAGTAACAATCTGTCTTTTCAATGGGAATCACCTCCTGATCTGTTGGCCTCACCACACCTACATAAAATCAAAATCCTGGGTACATTTTAAAACAAATCTGCTTTCTGCACAGATGAAATCCCTGAGACAAGGAAATTCGAAGAACCTGGATCCCTGAGCTTGTTTCCAACCTGTCTCCTCCTTCTAAGCCCTCACTGACTCTCAGGAGCCTGACGCTGGCACAAAAGCCCTTGACTCTGAGAACCTCTTTCCTCCAAGAACCACCCCACCCACTCCCCCCTTTTTTTAAGCTCAGGATTCCTCCCCTCACACACTTCCATTAAGGGCTCCCCTTCTTGCCAATTGGTTTTCCTTCAGGAATGTGGCAGACTACGTCCTCCCTCGGTGTATTTCTCCAATCCTCGTGGCCAGGGAGGAAAGAGAGTCTGGGCAAGTGGCACCGGGGCTTGCAGAAGGGGCAGCACTTACTTCACGCTCACAGCTTTAGCCTCTTCTGTACCTGCTCATCGTTTTGCTTACAGTTCTGTCCCCTGAACAGCCGTGCTACCCTGGGATCCCAGCCCCAGAGCCCTCTGGCTTCCGCTGGCCTGCGCCAGCTGCTCCTTCCCACTGTTGACAGCATCCTGGATGGCCACATTGTCCACATGATGGGGGGCTCCACACTCCAGCAGTGGTGGGAATATCTGTGTGACACCAGGCCCCGTGAGTAGCCATGGGAGAGGGAGTAGGACACTGAAAAGAACAAGAGGAGAACGAGGGCTGTGAGAAGGCAGAAAACATCATGTGAATGGTGCAAAATGCCTGGGTTTCAGTAGAGTGATGTGAAAGGACAGGACGCCTGCTTTGGGGCAGGGGAAGGGCTGGGAAACAGGGTGACTTGATTATGCATAATCTCCACATTACAGAAGAGCAGGTATATGCACAAGCTTGTCTGGAACTGAGGATTGGCTGGGGGGTACTGGAGGAACAGAGTTGGAATTTAAGAAGAGAATTGTAGAGAAACCAGGATTTAGGGGGTTGTGTTGTGACAATTGGGAGACACTGGATGTTTCTAAGCAGAGATTTCAGTTTGTTAGACAGATGGGATTGAAAAAAGAAAAGCCAAAGCCCAGTTATAAGACAGTGGTACAGTCCACATGTGAGGTAAGGGGAGGCTGAACTGGTAAAGAAACTGTCAGCAGTAAAGGAAGGATGCTGGAGGCCTTGAGAGTTCTTGCTGAGGGATTGGTTCTAGAATGAATGGAGATGATGGAATAACTCTAGATAACCACAAAACAAACTCCAAATGGAGGTCACTGGGGTGCCTGGATTGGGAGTCAGGGGGCAGGAGTAGGAGAAGACGGTGTATTTATTTCATAGCCCTTCACACTGGGTTAAAGAGGTGGGAGGGGCCTTCTAGGGAAACAAGTGGGTGAGGCATTTGAAGAGATGGGATTAGAGTTGAATGAGATGTCAGTGCTTCAGACAGTTTTGGTATTTATTCCTTTGGGGATAAAAGTTAAAAGAGGCCAGAAAGTCATGCAAGCTGAGTCTTATCTGAGTCTCCACTTTCACTAGGGTTTAAGAGAAATTCCGCAATGCGATATAACATGAATGAAGGAATATGCCTTATTGCAGAAAAAGGGTAACTTGAGAGCCAAGAATGAGCAAGAAAAGAGAACACGAGCACCCAACCCCCTCCCCCACCTGTCTTCCATCACCCCACAGAGAGGTGTGTAGGGTCCACACGGTGGGTCTGTGTTCTCATGAAGGGAACCCCCCTCAACCACCATTGCTCTACCTTCTTACCCACAAGCATGAAAGTTGCCTTATCAGGCCTCTTGGCATGGAATAGTCTGGATGTGGGCTGCTGTTTGTTTACACGAGTTATCTGAAAACACCAGCTGCCCCACCTGGAGACCTGGAGGCCTGTGTGATGTTGTCTACCCTCCCACTCAAGTGACTGAGGACTGAGAATAAGCCTTCACATTTGGGAACTAAGAGGTGACTTGTAATATCACACATTAGGGAGAGCAAAACCAGGTGGTCATAGGATACTTGTGTGCTAAGAGAAAAGAGATCCTAGATCCTTTGTATTTTTAAAAGTACAGCCCTATGTTAACCCCTGACCACCCCACCGTCCCCACAGCCCTGAAGCCAGTGGATCTACATGTCACATACCAGACGGGGCCCCTGATGGTGGTGGAGACCTCTCGGGGCATAGTGCTGCACTGGCGAGCCCATGGCTGGCCCCTGCGCTCCCTCCATACACCAGTGGCCTCCCTGCACTCTGTGGTCCAGGAGCTGGGGGGCCTGGCCGGTGGCCCCCACACTGTGGTGGTGCTGAGCCTGGGAGCTCACTTCACCACCTTCCCTCTGTCCATCTTTGTGCGATGACTGGCAAGGATCTGGGCGGCCGTGGCCGCCCTGCTGGCCTGAGAACCCAGCACTCTTGTGGTCATCAAACTGGCCAAAACCGGCTACAAGTCTGTGTATGGCAGCGACTGGTTCACCCTCCAAGTGAACCAGCTCCTGTGAGCTGCCTTCACTGACCTCTGTGTGGCCTTTGTGGATTCCTGGGAAATGACCTCCAGCCTGGCCCTGCCAGACAACATCTATCCAGGGCCACTCATTGTCGGCAATGAGGTGGACTTACTCATCTCCTTCATCTGCCCCATCTGAGTGCTCCTGAGGGTCCTGGGTCTGTGCTGATTGAGGGCCTGAGACCTGGGACACAATTGTGGAGAGATGACAGCTGTAACAGGACTTCCGGGATAAGGGCAGGTGCCATGAAATTCTCTCACCTGAAAGACTGCAAGAGCTTCCTAACTAGTCCAGCCAATTCTATCCTTGCCCTATTCCAACCTCTTCTCCACTCAGAACAAGAGTGATTATTTTAAAACAAATGAGACCTGTCTTTATTGCCTGCTCAAAATTCAACACTTCTGGCTCACAAACCCTTACCATGGTCCATGAGGTCTTGCATGACTCTGCAGCCTCATTTATGCTACTCTTCCCTGGCCCTGTGCAGCCCAACCCCATGTGTCTTCTTGCTGCTCATGTCCTGCCTTGGGGACTTTTACCTGCTGTTCCTGTGCTTGGAATATCCTTCTCCCAGATCTCCGAATGGCTGGCTTTCTTCTCATTCAGTTCTCTGATCAAATGTCATCTCCTAACAAAGGCTTTTCCTGACCACACCCCACTCTCCCACCCCAGTACTCTATTTCCTCCTTATCCTGCTTTTTTTTTTCATATTACTTTACTAACCACATCCTATAATTATTTGGTTTGCCACTATTATTGTTGTTGATTTGTCTGTCTGGTCAACAGAATGTGATCTCCATGAGGGAAAGGGAGTTTGTCTAGGTTGCTCAATGTTGTATCCCAAGACCTAGGGCAGTACCTGAGGCACCAAGTGTTAAATAAATATCCACTAAAGAAGAATAAGTGAATGTATTAAAGTCAGGTGACTAAGGGATCACCTCTATGCCCTGAGCCTTCTCTCAGCAACCTACATCCTCTGAGAAACAGAGTTGGCCAAAGTATCCCCGTTGCAGTTGCTAATTACCATACTTACATGATTACCACAATTAATGCTTCACGTTTACATAAGGGCAGTGCGATTTTCAGCGCAGTTTGTATTTTTATTTTGGAGGACCCTCACAGGAACATTCTTGCATTTTACTGAGGCCCAGGGAGGATGGAGCCGAGCCAGTCCTTGGTCCTGGTTTGGCTGCAGAGGCAGAGAGTGATATTGGCGAGAGCATGGCAAGAACACTCTGTCTTGTCTGGAAAACCGGCCTCCGGAAAGGGATGGAAGCGCCCCACCCTGACTTCTCTGACTCTGGCTGACCGAGTCCTGCCCGTCTCCTGGACTCCAGTTCCTCGCTGGAGGGGCTTCCCTGACAGGAGTCCAGTCCCTCTTGGGGCTTATCAGTGTGGGGCGGGCTCTTTGTCTCGGATCACCGGTTTTTGCAGGTTGTTCCCCTACTTTGTCTCTGGCTGCAAGGGTTCCCTGACCACCCGAAAAGGGGCTCCGTGACCAGGCACGACCAGGTCGGCAGTGCCGAGGACCTTCTTCCGGCTCCGCTCCTGGGCCACCGGGTCTTCACTCAGCGCCTGCCAGGAGTCCTCGTCCCCATCGTGCTCAAACACATCGCCCGCCACCACTACGGTGCCCAGGGCCGTGCCCGCCACCACCACGCTCACGTCCCGCTGGCTCCCGTGGCCCGGCGTGGCCCACACCTCCAGACCAGACCCCAGACGCAGCGGCCGCTCCTCACTCATCCCATGGGGCAGGTATCGGCCCCCGGGGAGGCAGAAGTCGTGAGAGACCAGCAGAGCCGCCCCAGGAAACAGTCCCAGATTCCCGATATGATCCGAGTGCCCGTGGGTCCCCACCACCAGAGTCACGTCTCCCGGGGCCACGCCCTGCCCCGCCAGGGCCTCCAGCAGCGCCTCCCGAGCCCAGGGGCCCCCGGTGTCCACGAGGATGGGGCCTCGGGCCGCTTCCTCCAGGGCGGTCTTTGCGTCGTCGCCCCCGGGGGGGGACTCTCGGTGGCTGGAGGTCGGGCTCCAGGCTTGGGGCAGGACAAGGGTCACGGAGCCGTCGGCTCGAACGGCGCCGCCGACCCCCTCCGGCTCCGCGTAGCCCTGCCGCAGAACCACGACGGAGTACGGCTCGCCGGGCACCAGGAGAGGAGGCGTCCCGCGCAGCCGCTCGGTCCGCACTAGGCTGCTCATGGCAGTGGACGGACGGGATGGGGAGAAAGAAAATGGGCCTGTGGGCGACTGCCCAGTCCCTCCGAATTCCTTAAACACCCGTCCGCCACTACCCAACTGGCACGGTCCATGTCTCGGTTCCTTGCCGCCCCCTCCCAGTTTGAAGGTGGCACCGCCCTCAACCCCCTGCCGAAGATGGTATTGCCCAGCCTTCCTTGCTACGTGGACCGCCCCTCCCTCAGCGTCGGAATCGGCCGGGCCTCGCTAGTTTGGTGGTCGGTCCTCACCCGTCCACCTCCAGAGGATATCATTTTTCTTCCCCTCACTCTAAGCCTAGCCACTCTTTACCTTGTATCTAGTTAGAGCGCCTCTTGCAGATCTTACTACATTCGAGGAAGGCACAGATATTAGAAAGTGCGAGGGATTTTGTCCTCTGCGCGCTTCCGTAAGCCCAAGTATGGCGGCCAGAGCAGCGCCACGTATGAAGTTTTAATTCGGTCGCATTCTTCAACTTGCGCCGGCAGGCTGCGCAAACCTAATCTTTCCTCCCTACAGTTCACCATCCGGAAAGTGCCAGCCGCAGGCCGGCCAGTGGCTCACTCGGGAGAGTGCCGTGCTGATAACACCAAGGCCCCGGGTTCGGATCCCACATAGGGATGGCCGGTGCCTCACTGGCTGAGCGTGGTGCTAGGGTTAAGCTCCCCTCACCGATCATCTTAAAAAAAAAAAAGAAAGTGCCAGCCGCAGGCCGGCCAGTGGCTCACTCGGGAGAGTGCCGTGCTGATAACACCAAGGCCCCGGGTTCGGATCCCACATAGGGATGGCCGGTTCCTCACTGGCTGAGCGTGGTGCTAGGGTTAAGATCCCCTCACCGATCATCTTAAAAAAAAAAAAGAAAGTGCCAGCCGCTTTGGGCGGCAAAATTACAAAGCACCCTTAGCTTCTAACAGGAAGGCGGCCAACGGCCCAACTCTCTGGGCGCTGCCTCAGGGACCAGCAATAGTGTCTGCGCAGCCGTTGTTTTAAACTTTGGGCCCCGCTGATACTTTTTTAAAAAGAGTTTAATAGCGATATAGAAAAATTGGCTCCTGAAGCCGATTAGTTCAGCTGATTAAACACTAAGGACCAGGGCTCGGTCCCTGTATCGGCCAGCCACCAAAACAAAAAAGTTCTCATTACAGAAAATTTGGCACCTGTGAAATTTTATGGTGGGCCCTCGGTGAAATTAATATGAAGTAGACCCGGTATCTACCCCACTTATCAGCATCGCCTCATTCCCACCCAGTGTCCTATTCTTGTTAAGTTTGCTGGCACGTAGTGTCCTGGACATAGGCTTGTGTATATGGGCTGCGGAGAATGTCACTTCTGGCCTCTTATTTGTGAGGGTCTAAGAACAGATTCCCCGAGGGGCAGGCAAAGTGACTTTCCCTAGACCCACGGTTCCAATGCAAATACTGACCTCTGGCTGGGGGTGGGGAGTAGACATATTTAAAGGGGAAAGGCTTCAGTACCGTCACCACACAAACCTGCCAAGTAAGGGGCTGGATGACAGGTAGAGGGCTGACCTTGGGAGCAGGAATTCCACTTACCATCCTGTGGTGCATCACAAGCATCCTGCCTGAGGGCAGATGGGAGAGAACGGCTACAAGCTTTGGGGTGGGGTCACACACAAACACACACCCTTAAAGCTGTGGGGGCAGGGAGAGCTCAGATTTCAGAGGGTTCTTCTCCATAATCCCTGACCTTTCTGGGGGCTCAAAGGTAATAGTCAAAGATCTTCTGGGTCGTGCTTGGAGTGGCCTGGTGTCTTGGTCATCTTTTCTTCTTCTTCCTCCTCCTCCCCTTCCTCCTCCTCCTCCTCTTCTGTCTTCTCTTGCCCATCTGTGAGCTCCTTTTCAGTCCAAGTTTCCTGCAGACATGCTAGGTTGGGTGAGAGAAAAGAATTTAGATACTGGTCCTGGAGAGAGGGGAGGCTGTGGCCTGGCAGGAGAGGCACCCACCCCCCATGTACCAGTTTCAGCAGCTTGGAGCACATGACCTTCACAGAGAAACTGCTGTAGGGGCTGCTGCTGATGGTGGAAGTACCAGTCTCCCACGACTTCTTCAAACTCTTCCAGCATCGTCTCACACTGGTCAAATGGAAGGGCCAGAAGAGTATCTGCTCTACTGGGCTTTGGAAACCTTCCTCTCTGTTCTCCACTTCCTGTCACCCTTATTCCATCTAATTGCCCTTGGAGAGACAGGTAGCCAGGAGGTTAAGCTTGGCTTACTACTATATGTGCCATCCTCATTCATTCAACAAACATTTACTAGCATCTACCCTGCTAAGTAGGTTATTAAACTCTGAGTCTCAGCTCCTTGCCTGTAAAATGGGAATGGTAATGCCTACTATGTCAGGTTGTTGTGAGGGTAAAATGAGGCAGCAGCTGGAAAGTATGTAGTGCAGGATCTGGGACCTAGTAGGTGCTCAATAAGTGGTGGTGAATATTATAAGCCTCTGCTATTACTTCCTGATATGCTTCTGGGCCCACTTTAATCATGGCTTTGTCCTCACTCTGCCCTCCTTCTCCCTACTCAGAGGTGGACATCCCCTACAGTCAAATTCTAGGCCCTTGCTCCCCCCTCAGGTTCCCATCTCACCTCCCTGAACAGTGCAGTATCTTATCCTACCTGCTTCTTGAGGAACGTGACCTCCACGCTGGGTTCATCCCACAGCTCCAAAGGGATCCCCAGATCCACCTTCACCCCCTTCTGCACTAGGCCTTTTAGAGTTGCCATGGTCTGACTCTGACCCTGAGAGATGGAGAATTTGGGATCAGCCCAGCTCACCAGCCTACCACCTCTTTCCTCTTTCTGTGTTATAAGCTTCGTCAACTACTGGAGACTCAGGGGTGAGTTCGTTCGGGGTGGAATGAGGGACCCTGACCATGAGGAGGGGACACTCCAGATCTGGGGGGATATAGGCAGATATCTCTTGAGGACACATGGTGATAGAGTTTGGATGTGTTGTCCCCGCCAAAACTTATGTGGAAATCTGATCCCCAATGTGGCAGTGCTGGGAACTGTTTGAGCCATTGGGGGCGGATCCCTCATGAATGGATTAATGCTCTCCTTGAGGGAGGGGGGCCTGAGTGAGACCTCACTCTATTAGTTTTGGCGAGAGCTGGTTGTTTAAAAGACCCTGGCAACTCCCTCTCTCTCTTGCTTCCTCTCGCCATGTGGTCTCCTTGTACCCACCAGCTGTCTGCCACTTTCCGCCATGAGTAGAAGCAGCCTGAGGCCTGCACTTGATGCAGCTGTCCCAGAATTGTAAGCAAATAAACCTCTGTTCTTTATAAATTACCCAGTCTCCAAAACAAAAAAAAAAAAAAACCCTGGCACCTCCCCCCTGCCTTGCTTCCTCTGGCCATGTGATTTGCTTGTACCTGCTGGCTGCCTGCAGTTTTCCTGCCATGAGTAGAAACAGCCTGAGGCCCACACCAGATGCAGCTGTCCCAGAATCATAAGCCAAATAAACCTCTGTTCTTTATAAATTACCCAGTCTCAGGTATTCTGTTATAGCAACACGAAATGGACTAATACACAGGGGATATAGGTCTTTGTTTCTGAGAAGCAGGGGTCCTGCCCTGGGTAAGGGTCTGACCTTGGCATATCTCAGTGAGCCTTTATGCTCAGCATGAACACTATAATCCAGGATCCGTTCACATAAATTCTCCAAGGCCTCTTCCAACCTTGTCTCCCTGTGGGAAGAGGGGAAACAAAGACTCCCTGGATGCTGCAGGAACTCCCAGGGCTCCTTTGGGGGTTGGAAGGTAGAGGAGCACCAAGGACTCACGAAACGCTGTAAGACACTTGTCTCTTCCTCTTGCCTGTGTCCAGCACCTGCCCCAGCTCCAGCACCTCTCGAGATCGGCCAGTGCGACTCAGCTCCTCCTGTAGCTCCATGCTCAGCAGCTTACACACTGGTGGGGAGGAGACGTGTGCAAGGGGAGGTGAAAGACAGGCAAACATACCAGCAGTTCATTCTGCAGATGCCCCAGGGCAGCAGAGCATGCAAGTGCAGACTTGAGCCAGACTGATCGGGTTGGAATCCTGGCTCAGCTGCTCAGTTGCTCTGTGACTATCTTACTGTGCCTTAGTTTCTTCACCTCTAAAATGGGGATAAATAGTATGTCTCTCATAGGGGATGTTAAATAAATCAGCATACATAGTGCCTGGCACATAGTGAGCATTGTATTAATGTTTGCCCTTATTCTGCAGTTATTTATTGAGCTCCTTCTGTATGTACACTAATGAAATAGACAGCAACAAACAACCTGTATCCATAGGACACTGCCAGTGTAAGTGGGAACAGATAAACAGATGATGACAATATGGTGTGTTGGAGCCTACACCAGAGGTTAAAACCAAGGGACTTAATCTCATTAGAAAATGCAAAATTCATTAAATGGTCACTTAGGTCATTTACTGACTTCCTATTAGTCTTTGATTTCCTTGAAGGTGAGCAACATGTCTTCTACTACTGTCTTTCTGGCACCTAGTACATGACCTGGCACATGGTGTGTCCCAAGAAAAAGAATGGCCCACTCAGAAGTGACAAGCAAACTAAACCAGGAACGAGTAACAAAAGTGCCTAAAATGTACCCGGTACTTGGTAGGACCTGGGACACACAGGGACTGTCCTTTCCTTCAGGGGCTTACAACATAGTGGGAGGTGACAGATAAGGAAGGAGGCTTCCAAAGGAGGTGACGTTTAAATTAGGTCTTGAAGAATGGATAGGAGCTTATCAAAAACAGAAGGGAGAGAGTCATTCCAGAGAAAGAGAAAAACAGCAAAGGCACAGAGGTGTGAGAACAAAGCACACTCTGGCTGGTGAGAAGTTCAGTGTGGCAGAAGTACCAGCGCTTTGGGGATGGAAGTTGGGGATATGGAAAAGTTTTGAGCCATGCAACCAAGAGTCTTATATGCTTTGTCAAAAAACGTTGGCTCTATTCTGATCACAGTAGGAGGCCTGTGGAAGTGTTAAAGTAAGGAATGACAGAGGTGGGGGAAGAAGAGTGGGGTCATGGAAGTGAAAGATGAGAGATTAGGGTCAAATCATGAGGAACACTGATGTTGAAATGCAGTGGGGGTTGAGGCGAAGAGAAAAAGAATCCTGGGAAGAAATTAAAGTCAGGAAGGCAACCAACTAGGGAATCAGGACACTTAGTGAACCAGATCTGAAGTGCCCCCTCCCAGCTGGGCCCAACACAGATGCAGCCACGGAAGATGCTGCTTGCGAAAAATCCATATACTACACACCCTCTGCAAAGCCTCACACTGACAGGGAACCTCTCCTAGTTGTGCACCTCCCCTCTTGTTTATGAGCTTCAAGGCCTGAGTTACTCACCCTCAAACCACCTCAGGGGGGCGTGGGGCATGGGACCTGTAATTTGGGAGCGTCTCTGCCGGGGTGGGGCAGAGGATGTCTAGGAGGTATGAGCCTCACACCCCGCTCCCGCAAGATCTCCACATTTGGGTCTGGTAGCACTGGGGAAACACACACCGAAGACGTTCGGTAGCGTCAGCGGTCCAGGGTGGACAATCCCTGAACTATAATTCCCACAACCCACCGGGGCCCAGCCAGCAAAAAAGGCGGGTTTCCCTCTGGATATCTCAGAGGAACTGTAATGCCATAGTTTTGGAGTGGCATTATGCGTTCCTTTCCTTGACCTCACTCAAACTGAGACAAGCTCCTCCGGAACTTCCCTCAGGCCTTCAAGGACGTCCAGTGACACCCATCACAGTCCATTTGGTGAGGCTTAGACGAAAGAGGTGGGGCAGGGCGATGCGAATAGGGGCTACTCCCATCAGATACCTTCGCATTTGCTGGGCAAGCGTTCTGTGTCATCGTCCTCCTCCTTCGGCGTCCCAGCCCAAGCCCCGTACAAGGCCAAAGTGAAAAGCAATACTGCCAACCGCACAGGTCCCATGACAAAGCGCCGTCCACAATCACCGATTGCCTTCAAACCGACTTCGAGAAGGCAGCGGGCTCTTTAAATTCAGACGCGTGCGGCGGCAACCTTAAATCCAGCCTGGCATGGCCTGCGCACGCGCGGAACCAACCCCCAAAGGGGGAGGGGCCTCATTGCTCTGGGTTTCCTCGCCTCGGTTTTGTGGCACCTCTTGAAGGTCCTGGCCGCCGGGTAGTGAAGGAATAAATGGAAATAATTAGAACAGGAGAGCGTTCACCTTACACGTAGCTATAGGAACAAAATTGTTTATATGTAGTGTGGGGCCGTGAGTCTAGAGGACTTATTCTGGCTCGGGGAAGAGGTAGTGACTGGTTCTCTGTGCTCGCCAGGACCTGCTCCTGGGAGAGGGCGGGGCCAAGATGGCGCCGAGCGCCGGGTGAGCGGCGCTATGGCTGCGGTGAGAGACTTTTCCTGTCCCGGCGCTCGGCATGCTGGGCGGGTCTAAGCAGTACCCAAGAGGAAACCCTTTGAAGGGCCCGTGTGGGAAGTGGGAAGAGGACGGTTGGTCGTGTGTCCGTACTCTTGGGGACTCCGTGTGTGTGTTTGCATCGGAGGGATGTTGGGGGAGATAGGGTGGGCTCTCTGAGCCTCCTTTTGCGCTGCCTGGGGAGTCTTCGACTTGCTTCTCCGCTGGGGAAACTACTGCACAGATCTAGCTCAAGTCAACCCTCTTCTGGGAAGCCTTCTTGCCGTCTCCACTGATCTGAGCAGCTCCTGAGGTTGTAGCGTGTTTTATGAGCCTTTACTGGCAGAAGGTACCGCAGGTATTGAAGGATTAATAGGAGTTCGCCAGGGAACTGGGACTCTACCGCTTCTTGTATACGCGGCGCCAGGCACAGAGTATGTGTTGAATAATTGTGTTCCCTATAGATAAGACATAAAAGTGGGGGAGGAGACCTGGGATGGTTTGAAAATAACCAATTATCCTTCAGCCTCCATCTTCCAGTGCCCCCGGCACGCCCCCACTCTACCCCTCCACTCAGTCTTGAACACTACTGATGTTAATCTTCCTAATCCCCAGCTTCAAGCGTGCCACTTTCCTTTTGACCACAGTGTAGACTCCAAGCTTGGGACTATGTCTTATTCGTCTTGATAATAGCGATACTGAGGATTTACTGAGGACCTAAGCCTTACAATTCATTAATTTATTCAGCAAGTATTTATTATTTACAATGGCTCAGGCACCAGTCTGGGCTCCAGGAATACATACATCAGTGTACATAACAGATAAAGATCCCTGTCCACATGGTGGGTAGTGGGGGTGATAAACAATAGGAAATGATACAATGTATTCGGAGATATTAAATGCTTTAAAAAGAAAAAGTAGAGCAGAGTGGAGGCAAGAGTGCAGAATTAAGTAGAGTGGTTAGGGTAGGCAGCCAGGTGGACATCGGAAAAGCACTCCAGGCAGAGGGAAGAGAGCAAAGGCAAAAGTAAGAGCATTCCTCGTAGGTTTAGAGAACAGCAAGGAGGAAGATGGGGTTGGATCAAGGCGGAAGAAGGAAGGAAAAGGGGTCAGAGATGTAATGAGGAGAAGGGCCCATTATAAGAATTTCAGATTGTACTCTATGGGAAATGGGGAGCCGTTACAGGGTTTTGAGCAGAGGAATGGCAATTTGATTTACATTTTGACAGAATCACTTTGGCTGCTACATTAGGAATAGATGTGGAGAGGCAAGAGTGGAGGCAGGAAGATCTTGTCAGGAGTCCATTAGAGTTACCCAGGTAGTAGACGATGGAGACCTGGGCCAAGCAGTGGGAGTGGAGGAATCAGGTTGGATTACCCGGTGGATTTGACGTGAGGGCTCAGATAAAGATAAGTGCCTGGATGGATGTCACTGCTATGAAGATGAGGAAAGCTGAGGCAGGAGCAGGTGGGTAGGGGGAGATCAGGAGTTGAGATTTAATGAGTGTTTTTGAGTAGTTTGATATACAAGTCTACAGTTAGGCAGAATGCTCTAAGCTGGAGATACAAATCTGGCTGCCACCATCCTATAAGTGATAATATAAAGCTGCGAAAGTGGCTGAGGTCACTAAGGCAGTAAGTATAGCTGGAACAGAAGACCAACGGCTGAGCCCAGGATACTCCAACATTAAACGGGTGGGGAGAAGAAGAACCAGTAAAGGAAACTTAGAGGGAATGGCCAGTGAGGTAGGAGTCAAAGAAAATGTTTTCAGAAGGAGTGGTCAACTGGGCAGGCAAGTAAGATGAGGATGGAGAATGGACCTTGGGTTTAGCAATGTAGAATCACTGATGAGTTTGACAGTGGTTTCAGGAGCCTAGTAGGAGCAAAAACCTAATTGGAGTAGGTTTAAGAGAAGAGAGGAAAGTAATTAGAAACAGAGTTAGGACCACTCTTTAAAGGAGTTTTGTCGCAAGGAAGAGCAAAAAAAAAAACCAAAAAAAAAAAAAAAACGGGATATACCTTATAAACTGTAACCAAAAAAAAGATATTTAAAACAATTTTCAATTGTGAAATACACATAACAAAACTTGTCATCCTAACCATTTTTAAGTGTACAGATCAGTGGTATTAAGTTCATTCACACTGTTGTGCAGCCATCACCACCATCTATCTCCAGACTTCTTTTCATCTTGCAAAACTGAAACTCTGGTACCTGTTTAAACAATAACTCCCATTTTCACCTCCCCCTGACACATGGTGACCACCCTTCTTTCTGTCTGTAATTTTGACTAAACCTCATATAAGTGGAATCATACAGAATTTGTCCTTTTGTGACTGGTCTATTGTGCTTAGCATAATGTCTTCAAGGTTCATCCATGTTGTAGCATGAGTCAGAATTTCCTTTTTAAGGCTGAGTAATATTCCACTGTATGTATATACCACTGTTTTTTTAAGATGGGAGGGAATGATCTGGTAGATTGAGAAATTGAGGATGATACAGGAAGATGGGAGAAATGCTGGAACAACACTTGAGGTGGGAGGAGCATGGACAGTCCTCCACAGGAACAGGTGGGAAGTTGCCAGTGCTGCCAGGTGGGCCAACCTGGTGGTGGGAGTCTGTGGAGGTCCTCTTCTGATGGCTGAAAGTGAGGAAGTAGAAAGATGTCAGATAGGACAGTGGGGGACTTAGTATGCTGGAGAAGCACATAGTATAATTGTCTAGCAGTATTAAGGGCCCTTTTGAAGTTTGTGGCCATGAATTTAAACTGAGAGGTGATCAGCATGGTTATATGTTTTTCTCATCATGTTCGGTCGTACAGGTCTTATAGGCTCAAGAGTGAGATTTGTACTCAACCAATACTGTATTTTTGTCAAGCATGAATAATGATGCAAGGAGCAAGAGATCCTAAGGTTCATGACAACCTTAGGAAAAAAGACATTATCCACATTTTACAGAGAAGAAAAACAAAGCAGGGAATTTAAGTAATTTGCCCAAGCAACACAGGTAGAAAATAGTAGAGCCGGGATTTAAATTCAGATCTGTGTTCCTTCTGCTATACCTCATTTGTACACTGCCTGGCATAGAATTAGAGCTCACTAAGTTATGGTGAATTGGATCAGATTCCTACCTTTTTCTGTTACAACTCAGGGCTGACTCACATTAGAATGGACAGAAGATACCCCCTGAGTTCCTGCTGTCCTCCCATCTCCATTGTTCTCCCTTCCTTGTGGCCTTTCTTAACTAGATAGTCCCTCTTCTTTGTATCTCACATTTCTTTTTTCATCCTCTGCCTGTCCCATCCCCCGCCAGAGTGTCCATCTCTCCACCCTAGAACATCATCTTTCCAGGCAGGGGCAAGGGGCTCCAGAATGGCTGAGGAGAAGAAGCTGAAGCTCAGCAACACAGTGCTGCCCTCAGAGTCGATGAAGGTGGTGGCCGAGTCAATGGGCATCGCTCAGATTCAGGAGGAGACCTGCCAGCTGTTGACGGATGAAGTCAGCTACCGCATCAAGGAGATCGCACAGGTAACCTGGCCTTTCTGCCCACCCCTGCCAGGCCCCTTTCTTCCTCAGGTTCTCGGGCTAATGTCCGTTCTCCCACCATCCCCAGGATGCCTTGAAGTTCATGCACATGGGGAAGCGGCAGAAGCTCACCACCAGTGACATTGACTATGCGCTGAAGCTAAAGAATGTTGAGGTGATTGGGAGAGACAGGAAGGGGCTGGTGGACTGGGATGGGAGCAGGGTGTTGAGATGCTGTCCTCCCATTTATCTTCAGCCAGGCCTCCATGGGCTTCCCTCTCACCCCAGTGTCTCTCTCTCCTGATATAGCCACTCTATGGCTTCCACGCTCAGGAGTTCATTCCTTTCCGTTTCGCCTCTGGTGGGGGCCGGGAGCTTTACTTCTACGAGGAGAAGGAGGTTGATCTGAGCGACATCATCAATACCCCTCTGCCCCGGGTGCCCCTGGACGTCTGCCTCAAAGGTTGGGGGAGGACCCTCAGAGCTGGGTGGCAGGGAGGAGGGAAAGTAGGAGTGATGTGTGTGGGTGTAAAACCTCACAAGTGAAGAGAACCTCAGTGTGAGATCCCTGGTGAGTTGCAAAAGGGAAGCAGGAATGAAAATGCACCTTCCTTAGTGTGGAGCAACTTCCCAGCATCCATGTCCAGCAATTCAACTTGACACCTTTCTTCCTTGCAGCTCATTGGTTGAGCATCGAGGGCTGCCAGCCAGCTATACCAGAGAATCCACCCCCAGGTAACCTCCATGTCCAGAGCTCACCCCCTCCTCCTTTGCATCTCCTGCCACTCTTGTCACTCCTCTGCTGTGACTGCTTTCCCACCAGCTCCTAAGGAGCAGCAGAAGGCTGAGGCCACAGAACCCCTAAAGTCAGCAAAGCCAGGCCAGGAGGAAGATGGACTCCTGAAAGGCAAAGGCCAAGGGGCTGCCCCAGCCGATGGCAAAGGTCAGTACTGCTAGGCCAGGCCTTTCCCAACTCTTGCCCCAAAGTCAGATGGTTGTTGGTGAAGTGGCTGAGGGCAGGGGTTGAGAACCCCAGAATGGATCAAGGACCCTTAGAGGAAGCCAGGTCTCCTGGATAGGGGGAGGTA